AATAGGGCTCCGTCTGTGATGGTCTACTGCTTCTTTGAAGTGCGCGCGAAAACGGCACTTGATACTTAAATCTGAACTCCCGTTAGCACAATAATCCCCTATCTAAATATTCTAGACCAAAGAATCAAGTAAGAGTTGTAAAAGATTTTATACGCTTTAATCATTTGATATTGAACTACATCCTCGGAACATGGTACTCGATACTCCATACTTGATTCTCTAAACCTGATACCCGATAACCGAAAACCCATAGGTACCCGAAACTCGTTTCCTGATTTTCGATACCCAAGACCCTGAGAATCGAGACTTGCTCCGAATGTATAGTTTCATCGATAGGGAATATTTGGTTACGTATATATTTTTGATGGTATTTTCGGATTTTTTAATATTTGTTGTTAGTTACAGTCTCCACGGACTCGAGGTTCGTGTCCTTGTATATTACCTTGTGTTTGCGGTGTCCACACATGTCAGAAAATGAATTTATTGTTAAAAGTACTAATTCTTACTAAGTATATTACGTTATTAAAATATAATTGTAACTAATTATTTGGGAGACGGTATTTTCGGGTTCAATTCTCAGCGGTGGACACCGCAAACACAAGGTAATATAACACCCGTCATGCGTCATTTGTTCAATGTTCATTTAATTTAAATATAAGTACTATATGTACTTTTTAAATTTTTATTCAAGCTTAGTAAACTAATAAATATTCATTGATATGTTGTTCATTTGATATGTTGAATGATAATATAATATCAGTAATAATATAATGTGAAGTATAACATCTTTCATATACTGGTGAGGATCAAAAACTTTTGAAAGCTATATTCTAGTGCATTGTGAAGTTGTATTCAGAAACCTTTTGTATGTAACAGAAATTCAAGAGCTGACACCCTGTAGATAAGTTGTGTGCGACCCCAGCTCTGAGATATCTCCGCTAGAGGTTGTTCACGGAAGCGAGCACACCCATTGAAGACTATTTGTGACTTCAATCGGCTGCAGGCTCACTTTGAGCAATATGTATAGTGTGAATGCTTTGTCGGTGCTTGGGAGCGCATTGGATTGCAGGCTATAAAGTGTAGCTTTGATATGTTTCTGATAGTTTGGAACAGTTCGCAGTTTACAGCTCAGATGTGTTGAGTGCCGTGCTATACTCCGCTGTAGTGTATACACGCCCGCATGATGCTACACAGTGTGGCGGGGTGCTGTCTCCATTGTGTGAGGACGCGGTGCCGCCTCGGTCTACACACTAACTAAGTTAGGTAATGAGAGCCGACGTGCTGCGCCACCCGCCGCCACTTTGTAGCGATGCGGCGCTCTGATCTGCTTGTAAACTTCCACACCGTGGAGCAATTTATATATAACTGTTGATAGAAAACACGCGAAGAAAACCAATAAAAGTCAAGTATAGTATGTAACGATATATGTAGTTGTGTGACCACTCGCGGCGTGCCATCGAGATAACACAATAAAAGGCTCCTCACGGAGATGGACGGCTCGCTCGTGTGCTGAGCGGAAGAGCGGTGTCAGTTACAAAGTACCGGCAGTAAGTGATACGATCGATACGGGCTGGACATCTCTGCCAATTCGATATTGATACCGTGAAATATTTATTGGCTTCTGAGAGGAGAGTCACCCGCGCTGATAGGTGTCTAAACATTACAATGTTTTAATATTTGTATTCAAGTTTCTCTGTAGGTAGAGAACACTATCGTGATCTCGATGAAGTGGATAGCATAATAATACTCAGACGAGGAATTTCGGCATCTTGAATATGCGTCCTATGAGCTATACAAGTATGTATAATAATATGCAACAGTATACTAATGTATACGTAGGTAGATAGTCGAGTCAGTATGTGCAGTATAATTAATTACAAAGAGAACAATACGGTAGGTACTGATAATGCAGTATTGTTATATTGCCGATAGGTATGGGCACGGACATTATAATAGTCTTGAGCAATATCGACGGAGCGTGCTCTCAAAGCGTCGCCTGCAGCTATGTCGTATCTACCTGACCGATTACAGGCTCTCGAGCCGTATTGAGCTATAGAGAGGACAGCAGCTGACGTCACTGTGTACCTCCGTGCTCAATATGTACATAATTATTTAGACAGTCACGACCTACATAAGCAGTGTTATTGTTGGTTAATAGTATTTTTGTAAGTCTATAAACTAAATATTAATTTGTTCTCCAACACTACTCACACGCTTAATGTACAGGATAAAATTGAAGTATATTTAGTAAAAGCTACACGACCTCCCTGTCATCGAAAAACTGGGCAGTGTTTGAAATTTTAACAAAAATATTAGATCACAGGGGTCACGTTACTGTGGTCGACGGATTAACAACGTAACGAAATTTGAAAGGTCCCTTTGACTAGTGAACTCTGAAACATTTCTGTATGAAGACATCTCAATCTGTTGCCGACAGTGCTGTGTTTGCAAAGGACTACGATATTATTAAGCTACGCTACTGTCGGTGGTTTCATCGAACATATGGAGCTGTTGATCAGTAATTAACTGTAAACAGACCACAACAAACGGGCACACAACAGGTCCTAATCAAAAATATGTTCGTACCATTGCAATGTACCGAAATGAAGGCGCACTTCATTGTGAAGCAACATTCGTGGAATTTATTGACGGAAGAGCTACCGACTCCATGTTCTTACATAATATACTTACAACTACATTATTTCATGAGCCTGCTATTCATTCGTTTAATAAACGCTTCCTCGTACTGACGTGGGTATAAAAGTACGTTTGTAAATTGTCTTTGTCAGAGGAAGTTCCTCTAAGCTGGCAGTGTATACGGGGAATGTGCAGCGACTAGCTACCACTAGCGGGAAGTAGGCTAACGTTCTTGGTGAAGGCATTACGCGGTACATATCAGTTGACAGCGCGCCACGGCACAAACTCCGCGCGCCATGTTAGGAGCGAGCCACATGCACACTGCTACACTATCCGCCTGCTTTTTCATTATATTAAACATGGCAAATGTCATGTGCATCTTATAATAACTGTTAAATTAATATTTAGTAAAGTTGCAAAAACTCCAATTTATAAAAAAACATATCCTAATACAAGTACCGGCAAGACGTTGAGACTGTAACTAAAACAATCAGTAATCTGCTGAGTATGAACAATTTTCAAAATAATGTCATGGAGTATTATACGTATATAGTGATAAGATTTTACAATATCCACATATTGATATACTGCATTGCCTCCGATGGTGCAGCAGCCTGGTAGTGTTGTGTGTGCAGTGGTCCTAAGCCCCTAACAGCACGCGGCGGGATGCCGCCGACGGAATCCAATTATATTGTTCTCGAGCGCGATATTAGCGTCACTGCCACGCTACCGCTGGAGTCGCCCCGCAGTCGCCCCGCAGCCGCCCCGCAGCCGGGCCGGTGTCGTGCCGATCCCGTGCCGCTGTTTATTGCGGAACTCGTTGAATGATTCGCAGCGACAATGAGCCGAGATTGGAAATGAAATGTTTTGTGCTTCTTGCTGCCTTCAGAGCGCCGAGCTCGCTGTAATGAGGGGGGCGGCATGTTGGGACTTTATCTTTTATTGTTGTGGATTCAATTGCAATTTGTCGTAGACTTGTGGATCCCCACATAAACGTATCTATCAGCTGCCAACATTATATCTACTACGCGGTTGCTGTGTCCACGTGTCGTGCCACTGTATGGACTCGATGACTCGGCGCTGACTGATGTACAGCGTGTGCACAGCTTACATAGTGTAAGTATACAACGTACTACATGATGCCGTGCGGAGCTCTGTGTAAACGAGGACAAAGGTGAGCGTCGAGAGCTCCTCAGTAAGTAATGTTCTTTAATTAACAGGAATAAATTCCACCCGTAACATAAATCAATTGAAATGCTTTCATTGTTTTACTTAAAAGAATTTCCAGCTTTTCCTACTCGGAACTTTCAGCAAAATGTCATTTGATTATTTTGACTTCGACAGTACCTACAATCCATGACGCAATGTGTTCGTGCGAAGTGTACGAGTGCTACAGTACAATGGTTTGATGTCCCGACGTAAAGCTCACTTTACTACGTACATAAAATAACAGGAATTTACGTTCCCTTGTATAATAAACGTTGTAACTTAAATCTCGAATAGCTGGTTCCAGTAGGTAGCTAATTAAAAGAAAATTAAATAGAATATGACTAATTGTATTGTAAAAGTTATCCTTTATAATATTGTAAAACAAATTATGATAATATTATATTATTGTTTCAAGCCAGGCAAAGCTTTTGAAACGTCAAATTCCTCTACTTATATATCCCATTTCATACTAAGATTCGTTTTTGTTTAATTTCCATGCGATTGATTTATACAAATCATATTTAGACTTGGGATAAAATCTATGCATCCATACTACCTATACGCATTTATGGTGCGGGAAATGAAGCGAAACCACGTTGCGTATAGTAAACTCTATCGTATCGTATAACAGCTAAATTTTCTTTTTCGAACAACGAAAATGCCAGATGCCTCATACTTGTACTTCTTAGTGTGTAATAATATAATACACGGACATTAACAAATAAATGTAGGTAGGTGAAAATTTTGACTGACTAGGTTCTTCCCGTCCATCCGTGTTAGAACATTTCGTGTAGGGTCGCGGCATTCCACAAGCTGTGGTCGTCCGCGGCTGCACAATAGGTACTGCAATCAGAAGATGTTCGCATTATAACGCAGCGCCATCCCGCCATTGTAGTGAGCCGCGGCCGCAACGCCACGACCCGCCCTGTCACAACTCACAGAAGATTTACTGCTAACAATAGTTTTACAGCGAGGAAAGTGTTCTTGTTGCAAAACACAATAGTTACACCGGCACATACGAATATAGTACATCTGCTTGCGACTAGCGATACTATAAACCATCTCAATCTGTTTTATTGAACAACTTTTATCAACAGGTATCACGGAACGACTTGTAATTAAAAGCAAACCGATATATTAGTGCGGTATTCGTATCATGCGCGAGGCTGAGTAATGCTTTTGATGTTTGTTACTTTATCGCAAGACAAGAGATCAGCCCGAGCTGAGCTCGAGCGAGGCGCGGCGCGGCGCGGCGCGGCCTGAGCTCGCTTTAATTGAATTCGTTGCAAGTTGCGAGCGTCGCGTGGTACGAACTGTTAGATGTAACGATCCACACTATAACTAATCGAACTTATGTGGAAATTAAATGTAGGTATGTGAAATTCGTTATAAACATCCTTTCTTCAGTGTCCTTATACTTCTAAGTTTCTGCTTATAAACTACATAAGCGGCCACCATGGTATAACAGAAAGCCATTAACATAGTCAATTTTGGCGGTTGCCTGTAATATTTCCTACTCTCTACTAGAAAGTTGTTGTTGACTTCTAGGGCGACAGTTCGTATCTGCTTATCCCATACTATGTACCTACCACGTACAGATGTAACAGTACCGGGTTTGCCTGCGACCCGGTCGTTCAGTCTCACGTCGAACAAGTTTACAAAGCGAATTGAAACAACAAAGCGAAATGCGCGGCTGCCAGCTCAACAATCGATGATTCCAATATGGATCCCGAATCCCGATGCTGTCTTAAATAATTCCGTTTAATATCGCTCCGAGTTGACAGTCGGCGCTGTAGTCAGCGCGCGGACATTTTTATCTGTGCCGATATTCAGCCAATGAATAATACACGACTTATTGTCGCCGTCAACGTTTAAGCCCCGGATCAAAAGTTGCTGAATTAACGTTTTATATTAATCTCACTCCCATCGGTCTATTCCCAGAGCATAAAATATATAATCTAACTCCAAGCATACATGGGTGGGTACAGAAGGTGTATTACCTATTCAGGATCAAAATGAAAGATTTCCCTGAATAATATAAAATGAACGTCGTCGGTGTATTAAAGAAAGTTGAAATTGTTCACTTTTATTTAATGGAGCGTGTCGGTGTCACTGACCGGTCATCGCAGCCATTTAATGAACGTCTGGCAAATATAATTACCTTTGTAGTAAACAGCTACAATATCAAAGCGAGCTCTAAAGTTGCTCAACAAGCGTGAGTAATACTTTACAAACTCGTTAACAACTGAAATGAAAAACTCGATTCTAAATCTCACAAGGTGGGACCCTGTGACGTCACAAGGCCTGACCTGAACTGCAGTAACACAGCTGGTCGGCCACTGGGTGTATCATCACATCATGGTGCTATACCTGTGCGTGTCGGGGTCATTCTGTCTGCTAACAATTCATGACAAGGCTTCAGTGGATCTAAAGGGTCGGCGAGGATATAAGCTCTTCCTTTTTCAATAAAAAACCTTCAACAAATTATTTTTCGCGGAATATATCTAAACACACCTTCTGTGTGTGTCATTGTATATGGCGGGGCGGCTGAACTTTGTGCCGCTGAAAGTCGCAAGTTAATAAACAAATTAAACAACTTACAAAGGCTTTGATAAGGGCTTTTGTGTCATTAACAATTTACAGATAAATAATACATTTAAAACAAAAGAGCTAAATATTTCGAGATAACGTTTTGTTGGAATTATTTGTATTTGTGTGCTGCGAGCGTCGGTGTCGCCGTGTGTCGGAGTGACGTGCTACACACCAGGTGAAATGTTAAGCTTTTGGTGAATTGTTTTCTTTGACTGTTTTGTGAGCGCGATATTCTCATATTTTATCATGAGTGTCACATGTATTAGATAATTTTATATAGAATATTCACTGGTAACTCAATACTAATTCCTACCTTGATCTCGTAGGTAAAGTAAATCTTATGAAAACAATTACCTGCAGTTTACCGTACACCGTTTCGCGCTTCTCGGATCGCGTCCATACCGCTGACCGCCGCACCACACCTGCACCACATTCATGCCACCTCCGCGTCATCTATGAAAGAGAAATGCACTGCACACTGTTGGATAAATACGCATAGTTTAAAATTATGCTAAGATTGATTCTGGTATCAGTGTACCCTTCTAAGTATTTTAGTTTGTTTGCACTCCAACTACCTGCATGTTATACTAATACCATATCTTGGTCGTGATCTTTGCAAATAAAAACATCTAACGGCACGATTCTTGCGGAAGTAAAAATATTTCTTTCACATTCCGTGATGCGGGCGGTGGAGTGCGCTCCTCTGATATTATAATAAGGAGAATAGGGAGGTACAAGATCCCGGCCTCGTTACAAATCGAGGAGGCCCTTGTGTCGCAGATATTGGCGCTACACCACTCTAAACAAAAATATAAATATTCATTAAAACAGATTTTACTGAAAAACTCTCTTTAATGTTGTTCCCTGCACATTGTATCATTTTATGTCGGGGCTACGAGCGCTCGTACTCTCGGAACATTATTCCTTTACGTCTGCTACAAACTCATTACATTACTTATACAAGAGTAATCCGTTTTCTCATTCAATTAACTCGAAGCCGACACATTCCTTTTCGTTTGTCTATTCCGAGAGATGTCGCGCCATGAGTCGTGTCGCGTCGTGTCGTGTCGTGTCTCCGCTCAAGGACACGACACAATAAACATTAGCCCTCATTATTCGTCGCGAACAATGCGTCTCGGAGCTCATCATTTTTCCTTTGTGATACATTCATCGTGCCGTGTTATCCGTGGGCCGCACTTTATTAAACATGTCGTAAGTATAAGCCCGAAATAATAATCTCGTACATTCCCTCCATTACACAACACTGGACGCCTACTAAGGAACGTTCTCGAGACTACATTACAGTACTCAGACATAATTACGAGGGAACTACGATATTGTAATCTATATACGTAAAGAAGAGCTCTATCTGTACGGTACCTATTTATACGGTATACAAAAGTATAAAAGTATTCTTAGACGTCGAAACACGTTTCTTAACCAGGAACCATGCGTCGGCACGAATAGGTTGGCTCAACCGGAGTGATACCACGGCGCCGCAGAAAACCGGCGTGAATCAACCATGGCGTTGTGTTACGCCGTGTGAGTGAGGTGATCAGAGGCTCAATCCTTCCCCTCCCTTTATCCCTAAATCCCCAAGAGCTTGGCAACGCACTAGTAACTCTTGTTGTTGAGGGTGTCCATAGGCGGCACTGATTGCTTACCATCAGGTAATCAGAAAGCTCGTTTGCCGTCCTATCATATAAAAATAGTGCTAATTATTTGCGGTATGTCAGTATAGAGTTGAGCTCTACAAAGCAAAAGCAAGTTCTTTGCTTTACCGACGTGACGCGGCGCTGAGTGTATACCTCGATTGATTGATTTTATTTATGGTTCACTGATTTTCGTCCATTATCCTGCACATGCACCTGGGGACATACTTATTATGTCTGTAACTACACACACATTAACTAAAAAATGTGTATTGGATCTCAGTCGCAAGCATATTCTCTCGCATAATAAATGAGATGGCGGCTCACCGCGCGGCACTACACGGAGCATAATGTTTGTAATTGTCTCTTGAAACGTTTTAGACAGCAGCGCGTGTGTACTTGCTCGTATAATGTGAGTGCAGTCGCGGCTCCGCCTGGAGCCGTATTATCTTACGAGAGCCGAGGCACGGAGCATACCATTAACTTGATTATGTTTCGCTCCCGCCGCGCTCCGGACAAAACCTAAACATGAAAATGTTTTACCTGCGGCGTACAGACACACTTTCACAAAATTATACGTAAATACTTTCAAGCGAAGTTATATAAAAATATACAAATAATAAATAATCACACATTTGTAATATGTAACTGTGAAAAAATTTCGGCACACCAGTACATAGTGCGCTAAATATATCCTACCAATGCACTTGCTTTAACTGTACTTACATCAGATTTTGATAAATAGGGTATGTTATAATTATACGACGCAGCGTTTTGCCAATATTCAGCCTGATGGTTTCGATGGTGCAGTAAATGACGGAACACATCTTTTCGGGACCAAGAGATGCCCAGATCTCCATAAAACATACCAATTTAGTCTGCAGTTACATTGTAATGATGAATGATTGAAGATTACTGAGAAAAATGAAAAACAGACCATGAACAAGTAAAGTACTGGACCAAGTCGCGCACATTGGTTCAGTGCTTACAGGAAAATATAATCGAGGAAACATTTTCGCAAACCGCAAACTTGTATTCTCAACTCGAGTCCCAAAGGTAGACGGCGACCGTAAGTACTTAAGCAATATAGCTCTAAGCCGAACCAAGCTCTGCTCTAAATCCAGATTGCTTTCATAGTTTTACTTAAAAGCTGAACAAACAAACTGAGAAAATTTTTCATATAAAATTGTTCGTATATTTTGAGCAACGCGTCGCGCGTCTCTGTGTAAGTGCTGCGAATTATTTTTCGATTATACATTTTGCTCTCGTATCCTTATCCCGTGCTTTGTACACCTTGAAAGAAACGTAAATATTTAAGGTTTTGCCCATTTCAAACACAATTATCGGAATAAAATTTTTGTGGAGTGGAGTTGGAGTTGGATGGATTTTTTTGAATCTACAATTTGGAATGAGCACCTAGCTTGACTGACGAACAGACTGACATACTACTATTCTATTTTGACGTTTCAAAAGTACCTATTTATAGTTTAGTTGGAATAAATGATTTTGACTTTGTTTTGATTCCAGGTCGCGATGGTCGTGGCTCGTTGCGTTCCTCCAAATACTGAATGTACTTGGCTGGAGGACCACACTAACTCTATAACACGGGAATGTTCTCGCAGTGCTGTGTGTGCGGTAGGTGAGTATTGAACGCGGGCGTTTTGAGTAACCTCCTAACTAACCTAACTTCTAACTCAAAACTGTTTGCAAAACCAAATACCTACTTACTGCACTTAATTATACCAGGGTTTGAATGCTATTTATCTTAACGTTAACGCGATCGAATCTAGTGAGTATGAGTTAGTATAGGTATGGCAAAAAGCAAACTTACTCATACCCTTTTTGAGACAGTAAAATAGAGCTAATCTCGAATGTGGCTTGCTGTAAATAAATAAATTAAGATTTTCTCTTCCCAAGCAGCTTCGTTACTTTGTATTCCGTTGATGGTCCGTGTGTCCTCAGCCTACATACGTAGCTACACTCTCCAATCTTCAACAAGGTACGACAAGTGAAGCAATTTGTTCTAAACGCAGGTTCTCTACTGGCCCGTACCGAGCAAGTGTGCGCTACAAAAAGGTTCTTTGTAAAATATTTCGCTTTGTAAGTCAGCGTAGCGTCGCGTCGCACGTCGCAGCCAGCGGGGCGACACCGACACTTGACGGGCCCCCACCCCGCCTTAATTAAACTCAACTCAATTTGGTCTAAAAACATTTACCTTTTATGAAATGTTCTATTCAACTAATCAGCAGCGAGCGATACCTTGTTTCTAATATAATTAGGGCGGCAGCGTGTTTGTCTTGTCGCCGATCGATTTTTCATTAAACGGAGTAGGTAGTGACCCGGCGCAGCGTGCTGCCCTCATCTCGCCGACCCTCACGTTAATGAAGAGAACTTGACAAGAGGCTACACATAATATTTATAGATGCGTGTTTTCTTCAAAGTTTCGTTTTTAAACCGCGATGACATGCTCTGTTTGGAAGCAGGTATTTCGTTGTTTTTTTATTGAAGCAATTAGAAGAAGCAAGCCATCACGAGTTTACTCTTAATTACTGTCACCGATCGTAAAGAAAGCTGTACCTCCTGCGGGGAGTAGTGAGGCGGACGGGCGAGAGGGGGGAGAGGCTCTATTGTTTCCTCAAAACGTACTGGAGGTAATTTCGGTGAGAATTGCCTTCAGATGTTTACCGGCTGTCTAATGGGCTTCTTTTGTGCCACCTTCGTAAACGGAATAAGGATAAATTACTTACTTTGATACTTACACCGAGTAATAATGACACTCACAGTGACGGCGACCTCACTCTTTATATTATCTGTAAACACTCACACAGGTATGTATACAATATACGCCTGCTGCCATCTTCTGTCGTATAGTACCGACCGAGTGTCGCAGGCAGAATTTTTCTAAAATTTATGAATACCTAAGCTCTAACTGCCAACATAAGCTGACAGTAAAATGACAAAATCGCTCAGTAAATATCAGTTAGACTGAGCTCACGTCCCCCGGTCCCGTGGCAGCATCGCTTTCAATGAGTAGCTTTTTGTAATGGAGAGCGGATTGTAACGAGCCGACACGCGACGCGGACGCGGGACGACAGCGCAGACAGATTAACTTTGTTAACGCGCTCACCGCTCACACGCTGCTGCATATATCACTGCTCTCATCGCTTTGTTCTTACAGCTTCCCCAGATTACATAGCGGTCTATCCACGTAATACCATGAATGTAATATTAAATCCGTCAAACTGTTATACATTTGCCTGGCAATATGAAAACAGGAACACCAATCATTGTAATTAAGTACGTGTACTATCTGCGTGCTTCAGATAAACGAGAATACGGCCGAGTTGAGTGTAGTTCAGAGGCCAGCGGCGCTTATACCGAGCAGTAGGTACTCACGCTGTAGCTCAGCTATCATTGCTCCCCGGCCCCGCTCGGAATGACTCGGAGAGTCCGTGCGAGGGATACACTGCGCCCGTACTATTGGAATCAGTAGATCTCATTCTTATATAAATTCGTTTCCAGTTTTTGGAAGTTGGTTGGTGGCACTGCTCAAAGACAGACATATTTTTCAATATTGCGCGGAGAAAACTCTTGTTAAAAGATACCTACTTTTCTTGTAAAATAAGTTAAGTATTTTTATAAACATGTTCGCAATCAAGTTAATGTCATTCTGTTTACTAAACAACTTTGAAATTACAGCGTTACGTATGATGTTACCATGACATTTGAGGATAAAACTCACTAATTGCTTAATGTGGTCGATCATCTATCTACATCTATCTCATCTCTCAACATGTACAGTACCCGGTGTGCCGCCCGCCCAGCTCCTAGTACCGGCCGCTGCGCCGCTTGTACTCATCCAATAAATTCCGGATTCCAGCTTAAACAGCTCTCACTCAGTTATTGCTGCTCAAGTATTTTTATTTGCAATTAAATGCCGACTGCTGTTCAGATAAGGAATGTGTTGTTTGAACTGTAAGTAGCTCTGTAGGTACACAGCGAACATGGCAGATAAAGAGATTATTAAAAACAGAAGCTGGCTTACATAAGCAATAAGAATGTAAAATCAGAGACAGAGTACACGACTTGTAATGTCATTTTGAGCCGGCAGTGTGCTTACACGGAGTGTAACAGACAGTCTATCCTTACACTAGATAATTCAAAACTGAAAAATCCAAGTTATCCATGTTTTGTCTAACACTTGTACCTACGCTCGCACACATAAGCTCGTCTTTATTAACTTTCAATTAAATCCTTGTATATTCACTTAGACTATGGTATTGATTTACACTTACACAAGTAACAACTATACTCACGTAATAGATACATGAGCTTCAGGGATAACTAGGAAAAGTGTAGTTTTCTAGCGAATGCAGGAAGCAGGGTGCTATCTGTTTCTCGGTCGAGTGCTCCGGGATCGAATGCTGGCTGCAGAGCGCGGCGGCTGCCCCCGACCGCCGCCGCGGGATTGGACATGTATGTGAGGATGTGAGTGCCTGCTTTATTTACTCCGCACTACGTACATACTCGGATGCTGCCCGACATCAGTTCTAGGGCTTTCTAACTTTTTTATGAGAGAAAATTAACAACTCTTTATGTCGGAAACAAATGCACATCTAGAAAATATCCTAATGGAAGTCCGGTGAGTATTATTAATACCTAAAGCTATGAGTCGGCGGAGGCACGGCCGCGTGGAATGAGTGTAGTACCGGAGGGCGCAGGGCTGCACGGAGCGAACAAATTCCTTTATTAAGGACATAAATAATGCCGCCAACGTCACACGATGACGCTGATGGTTTTGTAAGAAATAGTGCCGTGCTGCGTGTTCTACCGTGGTTTGAATTAACCGAGTAATTAAATTACTCACAAGTACACATTTGTGCAAAGGCGGACATGACGCTTGACGCATTGTGTTTCAGACCAACTTGTGATGCAGACATAATCATTATCATCATTATAATTATCATTTATTTATGAAATTAAAATGAGAGTTTTGAACTGAAAGTTGATTGCACTTTCATAGATATATAAGCATGGCTTTGCTGACTAAAAACCCCTATTTCTTCTTCTGCCTTAGGCCGAAGTCGCGGTGCCTCATTACCCCGCAACCCTGGCTGAACATCAGCCCTATAGGGCCCCGTCTGTGGTTGTCTATTGGCTCTTAGCGACGCGCGAAACGCTACGCGCCATACACTCGGGCCTGGAATAAGATTTTTGTTGGTGCTTGTTGGCTTAACCTGATCCATATAATAATTATTTAACATTTCAGCAAACTCCACGGGATTGTCTACATTTTATTTTATATTTATTAGCATTTATAATTTTCCACATGACTTTAATCTTCTACTACATAATTTTATAATTCGTTAAGTGCTTCGTTAGGAGTTTTGCATTCATACACATTTGAGAAAGAGAGATTCTCTATTGCATCTTTAAACTTTCAAAGATTTTCAGAGCAGTAGTCACATTTCTTATATTATGATCAATTAGTAAGAAATAGTGCCGTACTGCGTGTACTTACGTGGTTTGAATTAACCACATTTCTTATATTATCATCAATTAGTTCTATATACAGCACTCGGTGGTGCCAGGGTGATAGAGTTCACTTATGTTAATGTTATGAAATCTAAGTTTATTCTTTATTAGTTCTTACAGTTTATACATTAGATGGTTATTTATCCCAAATTGCGCTAAAAACACAACTAATACTTCCAATAAGATAAAGTATATATCGCTGTTGGGTTGTTACAAATGCAACACAATGTGGTCTCCACCTCCTATATACTGGGCACTACATGGCGTGACGTCACGTTGCCATCACCGGCAGCAGCCGCCGTCGGTAGTCTCCAACTCCATGTTATCGCTCACAACATTAAGAAACATTTTTTCAGTGCATATTTCCTTCATTTCACTGCTAACCTACATATTTTTGAAACATCAACCATTACTACTAAATACTGCAGGAAAAATTAGAAGAAATCAGTAAGAGTCAAATATAATTAATTTTATTATCTGTTGTATCTACTAAAAGTACTTGAAGTCTAAACCTAAAGAAAAAGCTACTAAGAACAAAATGAACATTCTCTTAAAATAAAGACCGGCGCCGCTCGTAAACGTGAACGAGCGTATAAACACAGGCGCGAGTGTGTGCGTGTGCGGGTATACTGTGTCTGTGTGCTGGTGCCAGCTTCTGACGATCGTCACAAATATAATTTCCTTGTATTTACGTATTTTGACGGAACTTTAAGACAAGCCCTCAAGTTACACGAGATAACAGTTCAATTAGGTATACATATTTAATTTTGTGATTATAGAACCAATGACTAACATAGACAGGAATAAAAAGTTATGCAATTCTTCCTCTCTAATGTAAACTAAAACACATTCCTCATTTTTAAAAATAAGTTTATCTGATCTTTAAACAAATTCTATTCTAAATAAATTATTCTATGTAGCGTTGTGACTTCATAGAATACCGGCGAGAAACTACACTTGTGTCCCCCCCCCCTCCTCCATCCTTAATCCATGGGCGTGGAGTATCCATGGGCAGCGTTGTTTGCTTACTATCAAGATAGTGTCCTAATTACTTGAATGCCGATCTATATCCTTTAAAAAGTCCAGTGGATATATCATTACACGCCCACACTCGCAATAACAATGATTATGAACGCTTTGAAGAGCATTAGCTCCGTGTCAGTGAGCCAGCCAATCCGGAGTATTGCTCGCCTCCACCACCGATATGTTGCCCGACAAACAAATAAATATTAGTTCTACTCTCTAAACACAACAACTATACCACATACACAGTAATGCTTACTCTCATTGTTATTACCAGTGGAAAGAAGGAGTGGAATTAAATGTTGAAGTATAATGAGGGAAAGCTTATCCAAACTGACAGTAATTCACCCAGTCAGCTCCACTGTAGTGAACATCGGTACATCGACGCGGGTCTCTGTAGTTAGGGTTGTTTATCGGAGTACCTCACAGATCACAGGAATTTGAAAAATAACGATGGAAGCAAATGTTTGTATATCACACACTAGCGGCCTTCCCGCGAGTATCCAAATACTTCACTAACGATCAAAGGGTTGCCCGGTCCCAATTATACGTTCTACTTCTCTTACATAAACTTTCTTCCACAGAAACCATCGAATAAGAATTGGTTAAATTGGAAAAGGCGTTGTTGGGCTATGCCCTCACACACACACTGCAATTATGTGTATAATAATAAATAATATACACATATAGTGTATATTATTTTATATTGCCTATCATGAACTACTCGTGGCCTGTGACTGTACTTGAGGCGCACTACTAGAATAATGTATGTCGCAGTAAACGGAAACAGTGAGATGCTTCCGGCCGACGCGCGCTACACCAGCGCCGCCTTTATTCTACTACATACGTTTACAAATACAGTTAAACATGTTGTAATTGAACAATCGTGTACATTGCACTGTGCGTGCTGTCTGTATGTAGCACGTAAAGCCGCTGCTCTCTTAAACAAAGGAAACTGTTTGTAAGTGAAAATGTAAGAAAAATATTCGAAGCGACTGTTTATTTTTGTTTCAAAATGGAACACCCGCCTTCGAATTCGCGCTCCTGTTTAATATTAATTCTTCCCAAAATATTTACTTTGGGAAAAACGTTCTGTTTACATAAAACCTAATTCGTAAAATAATATTATTGTAGAACACAAAAACCACTGTACATAGATCGGTATTGCGTCAGTAAAAATTGTTAAACAGATCACAAGTTAATGTTGTAGGTTCCTCTAATCAATTTTCACACAATGGTCTATTGTTGTCTATAGCGACATTTGGGAGATATCTTCCAGTGCCCTAATTACTCTTGAAGGGAGAGGGAGGGGGGGGGAGGGTTCAGTGTCGTACAATGCGGATGGACCTAATGATAAAAGTTGTCTAAATAAGGCGCAGGAAGACTACCAGTAACAGACTAGCAGTAGAACCACTTACCAACCACATGGTGCATCAGTCGCGTATACATATATATGGATTCCATTAATGAAGTGCCTGTATTATTGTACATATGCTCAATAAATTATTAATCAAACTCTACATATAAACTTATAGCTACTTTACTATTATTATATACTCGCATACGCCGCCGGAACTCCAGTACCTCACAAATTAAGTGAATCTCTCATCGAGATTAGTACGAGCTTTCAAATTATACAAAGACATGTAAAGTGTGTATCTGTATAGCAAATGGTCCTTCTGTAAGTTAAACTGTGTTGGGGCATTGATGTCGTCAAAGAGAGTCTATTAGCTGGAATTAAGTCAACTATCTGGCAACAAATTCAATTTACTTGATGTTGAAGAATTATTACATAGTCGAAGTTAGAGACCCGCACCGCGGCGAGTTTGTTACTGAATGTGAATGAGTTGCCGGCGCGCGTCATGTTCACTGGCCGCAGAGCTAACTATCTGCTTACATCGTCGGTGTAGCTGGCGAGCTGTCATTGTGTGCACCCGAGCCTCGCAGGCACGATATTATTTTACTGCGAACTCTTGTATCAACAAGTTGCACAAACTTTTATCTAGTGCGCGAATGACAATGGACGTAGAAAAGTTGTACAACAAATACAACAATGTCCAGGCTTACGGCACAAGTATGCAACAATCGCCCGGCTTGGCGCCGCCGCCTGCCGGCCGTGGGACTCGTACATATCTCGCTGCGAGCATCACCGCATCCTTTTCTACTAAAGTCACAAATTCATTCTATTTCCGAACATACATACATACATACATTTCACTTGTGCATAACGTGTTGTGAGCTTCCACCGCTTGTATCCAATGCTTTACGCTACGCACTCCGCAACATGCAATATTCTTTTACATTACTATTGCGGCCTGCGACTCGGCAAACACTGCAGCACGTATGTAAGTATGGCACCACAGAGGTGGATAAATAAATATGTCCCGGGGCCATGTGTAAAGTTAGGTAATAAAATAAAGCAGTAGCTGTTCGTAGTAAAGCAGCGCAGTTTGTCTCGGGGGGTTAGCGAGTGCAGTGATATTAAGTTGCGAAGTTATTGTGAGTCGCGAGTTGTTGCAATAACTGTGTACTCCTGCAACGCACTACAATCCGATCACTCGTAGCGAGGAACATGTCTTGTGCAATAAATTACTGCTTTATTTCAGAAGTTTTCGATATTTACTGCATAAAAGACTTTTAATTAGCGTTAGATGTAACGCAGGGAGTCAGTAAGTTGAAACGTAATTAGTGAACGTCAACAAACTGAATTGACACCGAGATGGTAACTCAATAGTAAAGTTAAACTGAGTTGCCAGGGAGTGACTCGAGACGGTCAGCTCGGTCCTCTGTCAATTATCGCAATTGGACAGACAGACCGACATCGATAGGGGGAGGGGGGAGCACACTCTGTATCCTGAGTACAGGAGCCACGCGTATATAACTGATGAATGGGGCATACACTGCATCCCTAATTACTAAAAAAAACAACTTATCATATTAATGTCGTTACTTCCCTGAAGAGTTAGGATAAGGAACGTATAATGTACAATTCCAAATACAGATCGAATAATTACTGGGAATTTTAAAAGCAAAAAAGTCAATAAAACTTTGATTTATCTGAATATCGAACTAGGATATTACGCGTAACTAAATCAACCCAAACTATATTATAATCTCACTGCTCGAAGCACATAAATGTATCTGCAGCCAGAGTTTCCAATTATCTGTCTTCATTTGCTAGCAGCCGCCGAGCGAGCGCTGGGAGCGATGTTTGCTCGGCCGGACTCGAGCTCTCAATATCCCGCGAGCGCCCGGCGCCGCGTCTTTAACATACGGAGAGCAGTTCACAATGAATTCAATGACTCTACGGCGCTTTATTAGCTTTCGAGCCGGCAACGTTCATTATGTAGGAGGAATGTTAATACATAGCTCCGCTCCTACTTTTTAACCGACTTCAAAAAAAGGAGGAGGTTCTCAATTCGATTGTATTTTTTTTTTTTTTTTTTTTTTTTTTTTTTTTTTTTTTTTATGTTTGTTACCTCAGAACTCCGTCGTTTATGGACGGATTTGCAAAATTTTTTTTATGATTGAAAGGATATGCTTCCAGATTGGTCCCATTCTTTTCAAAATTGAGTTTTGATGATGGGATCCATGAGAAATCGAGGGAACTCCTCAAATATTATAGGCAACTATATAGTAATTTTAATATTTTCATAGAGCACTCAAGCATTTACAGTCAAAAAGTAATATTTGATGGGGTGGAACTGGTGAAGAAGATCAGAAATGGGTGATGAAACTTGACACTCGCATATATATCACAATCAAGGTAGTTCAGCAACTATGAAACTGCACTGTAAACCAATGATCTTAAATAATTATGTTGGAAATGTTATCATCGAACTGATTTAATGATGATTATGGAGCTGGAAGGTAGGCACTGGAACTGCGTACCTAATTAATATATCCTAGCCGTGTTTGGGCTTGTTAGAATTGTTATAAGATGCACTTTGGCTGTAAGGTACTATTGAACCGATGTGATGATGAAGCTGGAAGGTTGGCATGGGGCCTAGTATTGTGTAAGCTTATTAGAGCTGTCAAGAGCAATGGAAAGGGCTATGCTCATAGTTTCCGTGCATATTAGAATCAGAAATGAAGAAATCCGCAGAAGAACCAGCGTCACCGACATAGCCCGAAGAAATGCCAAACTTAAGTGACAGTGGGCACGGCACATTGCTCGTAGAACAGATGGCCGATGGGGCCGAAAGGTTCTAGAGCGGGACCGCACACCTTTGGGGGCGGAGTTTGGCCTAGTATTGGCTATTTTGCATTAGTCCACGTGGACTGCGTTTACACATTAGTGGTGAAATGCGTCATTGTGTTCATATCGTTTTCCTGGTAATAGGCTAAGAGAATTCATTGGCATTTTTAACAAAACAGTCGTTTTAAATGGGTTACAAAACAATAATTGCGTCGTACAAAACAATAATTGTGTTTCTTTTGTGTGCACATATGTAGATAATACTTACTTAAAAAAGGTTCATACATTGAATGACTCATAAATGTATATTTACAATAGCGATGGTCTTTTGTATTTTTACCAACTTGTCTATATATGAATGTTCTTAGTAATAACAAAATAGTATTCTTCATTTAATGGGTTACAATTGATACAAAACAATAATTGCATCGGTCTTTTTTCTATGTACGAATGTATTTAATCATAGATACTAAATTAGATTGCATTTGGTATCTTTGAACTTTATCGGTCTGTTGATGAAAATATCTAGTTTTTTGTTATTTGGCGAGAACTAATATGAATTTATGATAAGATTATTATTTTTTTTTAACTATAAGTCATAAGTATCTCATGCATCATATCATCTCTCCTCGAGATCAAAACGATTACACAGTAACAATGTACTATGATATGTATTTCTACGTATAAGTATGACATTGGTAACTTTTTCAAAAGAAATGTAGGAACGATATTGACTTCTTTGCCATAACACATTATAATAAAAAAAACACTAAACGGCTACAAATAAAAAAAAAATTTACAAAATAAAAAAACCGCCTTCAAAAAAAGTCAAGCAATAAAAGTTCCTACACTAAAAAGTAAAAAATAACAATTTGAATTACTGTAAAAAAACTTAGTTTATAGGTAAACTTATTTGACATTAATATTTTGCAAATATTCAAAATTTATTACTTATTTTTGGAGTCGGTGCCAGCCCATGCAAAGAAATACAAATGGGCAACAATCCCTTGAAAAACTACCTCTTACTTAATTATAAAACTACTTAATACCTATTTGCATACTCAAATATAGGTATATTAATTAAGACATAAATACAGATTAGACTTCTCTACAAAAAATGTCCGATTTGCACATTTTTTTTTAATAAAAAATATATACTTACAAAAACATTTTAAGTACATTGAAAATGTTTAAGCATTATGTACGAAAAATGGCACCGGATATTAAAAAGCTAACTAACATTAAGTTTCAACATTAAAACGCTGGCACCGACTCCAAAAATAAGTAATAAATTTTGAATATTTGCAAAATATTAATGTCAAATAAGTTTACCTATAAACTAAGTTTTTTTACAGTAATTCAAATTGTTATTTTTTACTTTTTAGTGTAGGAACTTTTATTGCTTGACTTTTTTTGAAGGCGGTTTTTTTTCTGTTATGTGGTGTATGTTATGTACTTGTAGTACAAGTATATGTACCTATAGGTAAGTTGATACCTTGGTTGAAAATACCATTCTATATTTGGAGTTGCTCTATGTATAGCTATCTGAGGAAACTTCCTATATGAGAGCTCGCTATAAAATAAAAAAAAGGCAAAGCACGATAAAAATAGGTGTACCCACGTCACATACAACAATTTGCCCTCTCAACTGGCGACAGGAGCGGAGTGGACCGCGGGTACTCCCTAATTCAATTAACTGTTTAGCTCGGGGATTGTAAAATTAAGGAGCGTGAGGAACGGTCGCTGTAAAAATGAAACGGTTGACAGAACACAGCCTCCGTCCCCTGTAGATGTAATGAAGAAGTGTAGGAGGCGGTGCGGGCCCGGCGCGGTCACGTGACGTGCATGCGGCGCACGTACCGCCCGCTCTAATTACTCACGTGATTGCTGGCCGCTGTACGCGGGGCTTGGAGCTGCGAGCCACGAGCGCGCGGCGGGGCCGGCCTCATTGTTTCAATCATTATTAACTCACTATTTTCTTACCTCAGTATTTTCTTGCTTTTCAGTTAGATATGCGTTCTCCGCATTATCTGTCTCAAGAATTGACATGATAGCCTTGAAGATCACTATCTACCGCGACATATCAAACAATTATTACAAATCTATGATGTGGAAACTTAAAAACCCAAGTCAAAGTCAACTTGTACATAGTTGTTAATGTTGCAATGGGCATTTAGCGGCGAACAAACAAACATTTAAAAATAACAGTGTCTGCTTAGGTACGTTTCAGTCCCACTGTAAATATGTTTTATAGTTACTTGCGGAGAATTACAAACAAGACTGTTTCTATATCAATACTTCCCTAGGAAGTAACAAAAATAAATGAATCTTAAGGAGTACTGAATACCTGATTCAATTGACGTGTAGGCACCGTCCAACTCAACAATATTGCGATCCAATGCCGGTACCGTAGACAGTGTCACTGACACAACTACAATGCGCCAATCATATTATACATAATTGGTTAGAAGGCACATACTCATATTTAGAATAGATCATTAATATATTACTACAGTAATATAAAAGACTGTATCGTGACATCATTGGGTCAAATGGTTACTTATATGAACCCTCTGCAGCATCTATGGTAACTTACTTACAGTAACGTGAGTATAATTTAATGTGGAAAATCATTTGCTGGTCACATAGTAGTGAGTTACAGTTTAGTTCCATGTCTGTAACGGAATTTACAAACGCAAGGGGTTTGTATAATTTATATGCGTAGCGTTTAAAATTGAATATTAATTATTTTCAGATTACAAACATAATTTGAAATATTTGTCTTTTTGCGCATAGACCAAACACCAATCTGTTTGTAATCAAATCCAACATAGACTCTATTTGTAAACTAGTAAGTTATTCATTTCGCCACACTTGTGACGGAAATATTTTAAAGACTACTCAGTATCAAGCTTTTGTCATGGGCTGGCTTCCTGATGGATGAAACTAATCTGTTATTCTGTCTGGCTCATAAGTCCGGATCCGTCTGCCATTAATACACTTGTCTCGGCATCGTTGGACGTCGGGCGACGTCGGGTGACATCGGGAGCCATCGAGCAGCTTCTTGCGGCTCCGTGCCTAGTCCTGATTGATCATTGAGTCGTGGGGATATTTTGAATTAATTGCCTGCATGCTCACTCAGATTACAGTCGCATGTAACATCTGCTACTCCGAGAATTACTCCATTAAGGATCTGTGTCGGGGGAAGCTGTGCTTTATTTGATTTGGGGCATTAAGTAATTTCTTTTTTTCTTTTTTTATTATTTTGACTAGTGTGATTATTAATTAATTAATAATCACACTAGTCAAATACTGTATCCATTTCATTTACGGTGAATTTAAAGCATAATTTTATGAATGAATGAATAACCATTTTCAGCCGTGGACATACATTTATCGGTTAATGTGAACTGAACGATTCACGTGAATGAATCTAATCGGTGGCACCTGCATAATGAGCGTGACCGCCGCTAAAGCTGCTGGTTGGTCGCTGCGAATAAAATGTTTAGCGCTGATTGGCTGATTGCGCGTGCCGCGACACAACCGCGCGCCATAATGATCGCCTGACTACGACCACACATGCAACTAACTATCGCTAAATAAATGCCACGATGTTCAGTAACATCATCACCTTAGCTTTGTCTTTTTGCCACTAGAATATTAACAAAATGTATATTTATTCATTATTTAATTTAAGTTGCCATGACGTCGGGAATGTTAAATGAATAGCGTTATATGTGTGCTTAAGAGGGGTGCCTTCTTTTAGATCTCTTAATCCTAAACCTTCAAAATACTAGATGCAGGTGCAGCACCGATTGCTTACCATAAGGTTTGCTAGTTTACCGCTCTAAGCTCGTGAGTGCCCTGTAACCTATTACAATTGGCTAGACTAGCAGAATAAATATTTGTGTTACACTGTTCTTACATATTTAAACCACCTGTGTGTATACGGAATCCGTATGTGAACCTGATTTAAAAAGAGTAACCATGGAGTTTCTTGCTCGTTCTTCTCCATCGGAATCTACACTTTGGAACGAGCAAATAGCTTGACTAAAAGAACTGACCGACAGACTGAAAATATATCATCAAAATTTTGTTTGACGTTCAAAAGTGGCTGTAAGGGTCTAATTGAAATATTAATGACTTTTGACTTTTTTGACTCTATCGTTTGGGTAATATGTGCAATCTATAATTATGTAGAAAGTGGTACGGCCTGCTAATTGATGTTTGTTTTTTACTAGACTAAGTATTTTACCAGAGAAGTTGTTTTTCACTTAGTTCTTTCCTCGGTACTTAACATATAAACACAATCTCCCGAAGCATCGTGCGGTGTGCGCCAGTCCGCGGCGGATCAGTTGCGGTGCCATCATTTGTGACGCTCGATCCACTCTCGTATTGTTTTGTAATTCAATTAGCTCTACAGCCTGCTCACATCACTAACCACTGCCAGTAATTTGCTAATACCTTCATTATGCATATTCATCATTAGCTGAACTGGCCAACTTTGTTCCGTCTCAAAATTAACTCAACTTTTATGACCTTTTAACCACCTTTCCTGAACTTTCTCAAATAATTCAAAACCAAAATTAGCCAAATCGGTAAAGACATTGTTGAGTTATAAAATTACAACGAAAATTGGTATTGATTTTTATATGTGTAAATAATGATCAATAAGTTACTTATTATAAGTACCTATTCGGAAGATTATAAGTTACTGAATTGTCAGTACCGGCACTAAATAGTGAATAGAAGTAATCCCAATAACTGCACTCGGTTAAAAGACATTATTAGGACGCGGCCCTGCGCTGGTAGCTGGGAGCTGCTGCCCGTATTGTCATTATGTACCCTCGCATTCACACAAACGTGAGCTCTGTTTGGATGTGGATTACTGGTTTAATTACCGTTTTGTCTCCATTCAGAGTTTAATAACGCAGCGCTACAGCTGAGCAAACGACGCCTACTACATCGAGCGCCACTGCTCGCACGTTCACCAACAACGAGCCGCCCAGTACTGAGCACTCCAACAGATTTTATCACAAACTAGCTACTCTCGCGCGGTTTCACCCGCTGCTCTGCTCTATTTAATCGTAGCGTGATGTTTTATAGCCTAAGCACTCAGGAACATTGCAGCTACCTATCAGTGAAAGAATTTTCGCAATTCGATCAGCGGTTCCAAAGATTACTTCCTACATACAAACTTACCAATTTTACCTCTTTATAATATTATTAGTATTTTAGTTTATTCCCTAAAATAAATCTGGTTTTAAGCTCGTGATGCCGTTATCATCTGGTGTTTTTAAACAGTGCTTTGATAAAGTAATTACTTACTTTGTTTTCATCTTCGATACGTGTACACTATCCCGGAACTATAAAATTGAAAAATAGTTGGAGCTTCGCTAATCTCTAAAAGGCTCGTTTTAAACGTTATTTTCAAGATGACTGGTTGAACGAACTGTTTTGAAAATAGAGCGCAGAGCACTGGTCTAGGTTCGAAGCCCGGCTGCTAGCGCTGGACTGGCGCCAGCTAGTTTGATGGCATTATTACAACAGACGATGTGAGGCCGATGAATATCGCAGCGTATAGGACTGTGGAAGCCAATGTTTATACGCTGTAACTAGATGAACGTACTGATCTGGTTTACGTTTGTTTGGTTTTGGTTTGTCTGATGTCACGACACATCACTGTACACCGTACGTGTAAGAAAAGCATTGGTTGCGGTGTCGTAACGTAACAGTAACGATGGCAACGTCTCTGGCAGTTAGCTAATCTTGCCTATAGATAATATTGAATAGTACCAAATACGGCCATGAACAGATCAATAGTTGTTTAAATGAACACAGTTGTAACGTAAAGTTTGTCGGTCACAACACTTGATTCCTTGGTCACCCTGACACCGTGACCGCACTCTCGAGAACCTCACTGAAACCAAACGAGGATGACGATATAACCTCTCATGAGCAATTGATGTAAAAAAGTGCGCCATTTGTCTTGTGCCTCCGCGCCTAGCTTACTGCATAATTATGTATGTGTCGACTCACACTAGATATGTATGGGTTTCTCTATTACGATTGCATGTTATTCTTAAGAATGTTTTTGTTATTTCGTATTCTCAAATTTAATAACGATGTTACTTTTTTTTCACTAAACGTATGCTACAAGCTGTGGTTTTGGGGGCCAGTATCTTAATAATGTAGTGTAGTGGTAAGTATCAGCCCCACTGGTTGTCTCGTCAGGCAGCGGCGGGCGCGGCGCGGGCAGTCGGAGTCACGAAATTGATGCGGTCTGTCCGGATATTAATACCCGCACCGGCGGATGTGCGCGGATATTACGTCTGTCGCTTAAGTATTGCAGCAGAAGGTATACACTGGGCATCTTCTACTTTATAACCAAATCACAGTCAGAGAAATACATAAATGATATACAATTATAGATAATTTATTTAGATTAAGTTAATTAATTTTATTATTGAATTGTTTTATCGTAACTGAAGGAGTGGTTGAGGGAGACAGAAATAGATATTTTTGTAAATTCCATGTCTAACGCAGCAGTCGTCTACCCTTAACTATTAATGTTACATAACAATGAGTAATGCACTGCCCAAATCTTTCACAAAATACTACAAACTTTAACATACTAAAACTCTAATATGGCGGGCAACCAAAGTCACCACGACACGACACACTGGGCCAAAAATCATTTTAACACTTATATGCAATTTTCAAAATTTCACAAACTTTACAAGTCAAACATCCCAAAGATATATTTTTTATAACTTAAAATGTACAAATGATTTTTTTTTCTGTCCTACCCTCAACGGAATAATATTCCGCAGTCCTCGAAGTGGGATTAAATATCCTCATCAGTGAACTGTGACCGTATCAAGTGTCTCTGAGGCGAGGGCCTCACGGTCGGGCGAACCGGTCCTCAGTGAATTACTTAGTACTTCACGAGACACGGAGT